CTGGCTGTGACTGCAGGCAAATTCCAAACGGAGGAGTTTCTGCACTGTTTCAAGCAAAGGCAGCATCTCTGGGAAGACCATCCAGTCCGTGTGTTTTCTGATCAGGTGCGTAAAAACTCATGTCTAATATTCAGTTTTCTAAGTCTCCTTATTACGGCATTGCTGTTATGGCTATAATACAATACTTGTCATTGCCTAAGAAGCTTTAAGCTAGCTTTATGGCTCTCAGAAAATTCTAGCCTGCAAAACTTTCAATATCTTATTTACATTTAGCAATTTAATCTCGCTCATTACCAGGCAACAAATAACCTCAGCATTTACTGAACAAATACCAGGGACACGGCATTGCTACAGGTATAACTGGGTCACACCGGAGAGATTAGATATGGTCGCTTAACCTTCACTTTCAAAGTTCTAATCAGAGAGAAAAGACCGCTTCACAACAGAATCAATACAGACACAGGAGAAGGGTCAAACAGCAATGCTTGGCAATTTTATCATTAACACGGTCTTCTACACAGCCAAGTTTGAAAAAAATGTTCTTTGTTTTGTTCACATTCATCATAATTTCATTAGCATCTCCTGTTCATGTTTGCTTTAAATTTCGCTATGCCGCATTCACTAAGTTTACGAGGGGATGACATTTCCAACGTAAAATGGGCCAAAAAAGTAGATAACATATGTTTCTGCCATGGTAAGAATTGTTTCAACCACAGCAGTCGCAAGTTACATGGAAAATGGTGTTGTTAACTTTTGCATTAAGATAATATCCAGTAGGGCCGGGGATGTAGCTCAGCAGCACAGCGCCTGCCTGGCAAGCATAGGGCTCTGAGTTCAACTCCTGGTTCAAAAAAAAAAAGATAAGACCCAGTCATTTAAACGCTCAACAGGAATATTTCTTAGAGAGAAGCAGGCCAGATACATGATGCCCATTTTCTACAAGAGGACATGAACACAAGAGGTGGTGTGACGGCCCCAACTCTTGTCCTGTGTCCTACCATGAGCTCCCACCCCCACTCCCTGCCTGCGCTGCCTGCCTCTGCCTTCAGAACGCAGCTACCTCAAGCCTCTTCCGGCTTCTTTCCATAGCTGGTTACAAGTGCGCTTTCTGTGGCTTAGAAAACATCTTCATTCTTATTTGTTCAAGCTTTCTCTAAGGACGTTCACACTCAGAGCTGGAGAGGGTCTTTGAGGTCTGCTCCAACACCCCTGCTTCACAGAGCGAGGATCTGAGGCCAGAGTGATTAGCAACTCCAAGAGGTATGCAAGTGAGCAGTAGTTTAAGAATGCAAGGCAGAAGACACTGAAACTGCTGCCTCCAACGTGATGAATAATGACTTTAAACCAGGTGTGGCACACCCTGTAATCCCAGCACTCAGGAGGGAGGCTGAGGCAGGAGAATTGCGGTGAGTTCAAGGCCAGACGGGGCTACATAGCAAGATCCTGTCCCCCCTCCCCCCAAAAAAAAAGATTTTTAGTGGTAGGAAAGTTTTTTGGCAGCCCAGGTGATTAAAAACTGAGATGGGAAACCTAGGGAAACACTTTCCTTCCCTTTCTCTCTCTCTCTCCCCCTCTTCTCCCTCTCCCTCTCTCTCTCCTGCCCTCCCTTTCTCTGTTCCCACCATTCCTCCCTTCCCCTGCTCCCTTTGTAGTGCTAAGGATAAAGCCCAGGGCTTCGAGCATATACACTCATAGTTCTGCAATCATAAACATAACCTATTTCAGACACATTCATCAGTGGGCGTGGTGGCATATGCCTGCAATCTCAGCACTTGGGAGGCTGAGGCAGGAGGATCATTGGGAGTTCAAGACCAGCCTGGGCTACAAAGTGAGCTCAAGGCCAGCCTGATCTGCATAGCAAAACTTTGTCTCAAAAAGACCAAAAAAAAAAAAAAAAAAAAAAAATTAAAACAAAAGAACAAAAATCACGTATTTATCAACTTAAAAAAATACTTTATAATTCTTCCCCTCAATCCCCTAATCCTAAACAACTACTAATCTATTTTCTGTCTCTATCAATTTACCTTTCTGAATATTTCATACAAATGGGATCATATGTTGTTTTTTGTGACTGCCTCCCCTCCCTTAGTATACTGTTTTTATTTGTTGTTTTTTTTTGTTGTTGGTTTGTTTGTTGTTTTTTGAGACAAGTTCTCCCTATGTAGATCAGGCTGACCTTGCACTCACTATGTAGCCCAGGCTGACCTCAAACTGGTGGCAATCCTCCTGCCTCAGCCTCCTGAGTGCTGGGATTACAGGTGTGTGTCACCACACCTAGTACACACCCTGGCCCATTGGTTGGTGTGAGGTGGCAGCTCCATGTGGTTCTGATTTACATTTCCCTGGTAACTACTGTTGAACACTTTTTTACGGGTTTATTGACTATTTGAGTACTTTCCTTGGAGAAATATCTATTCGGATCCTTTGCCCAAAGAAAAATGTCTTTCTGAAAGAACAGCAGATTACATTCTTATTCTCTGGGTTGTTTCAGATGCAATCTTCTGTTATGTGAATTATATGAGTCCTAATTGTGTGAATTAGAATTCTCCTGGTCCTACCTAGTTGAATAAACTTAGAGTTTTGAAGGATTTTTATATCTGAAGTTTAATTTTTATATAATAGAGGCTAAAGACAAAATGCTACAAAAGGACCCTGCTTTCCTTAAAGATGATTTTTTTTTTTTTTTTTTTTTTGAGACAGGGTCTGTCTGTATAGCTGTCTTGGCTACTTTTCTCTCATTGCTGGGACAAAATACTTTATGCCTAAAATTAAGGAAGGAAAGATTTATTTTGCTTACAGTTTGTGGAGGTTTCAGTCCATACTTGGCAGGTTACAAGGCAGAGTGGCACATGGCAGAGGGCTACAGCTCACAGCGGCAGAACACAGCAAAAGCAACAACACAAAAGGGAGAAATGGCCCCAAGCACCCTCTTCCTCTCCCTTACATATGCAAACTATCCACCCCAGGGCAGGTGGAGCTCTTACACCCATAATCAATCAAACTCTAAAAGCCTGCCCCATGACCGCATGAGGCTTTGGGGGGACACACAGACACAAACCATAACAATAGCTCATGTGGCCTTGAATTCACTGTAGCCCTGGCTGGCCTTGAACTTGGGGTGATCTTTCTGCCTCAGCCTCTCAAGTGCTGGGGTTATAGGTAGATGAGCTTCTGAGCAGATGGCCTGTGGCGCTGCATCTCAGAAAGGTCCTTTGTTTACAGGACGAATTATGCACAGCTGGTGGTCCAAGTCCAGGCACAAGCTGGCCAGTGGGCACCTAGGCTTCCTTCCACTTCCTGTGGCACTTGGAGATTATTGTCTGAAAAAGTAAACCCAGCTTTCAAGGGAATTGCAACATTCTGGGGTGGCCTCTGTCACCCTCTGCGAGCAGGGTGCGGCGGCTGCTTCACCACGTGTGAGGCAGCGTGAAAGCCTGCAGCTCTGCAGCCCAAGGGAGCACACAGCTTCCGGCCTTGCCAAACTTCACCTCCACCCCCTGATGGCTTCATTTCAAGGTGAACACTTAGAGAAGATGTTTAAAGTCCACAGGCTCAACACTCCCCCAATAAAGCTGGTCACAGTGGGAGAGGAGTGAGTGCCGCCCGGCTTGGGGGCGGCCAGGGGTGGGGAGGAGACTTGGGAATCCGAGTGCCCGCTCCCAGGCGGCTGAAGGCCCCCGCTGACCACACAGTATGAGCTCACTGACTTAAACACTAAGGATGCGCGCCTTCTTTCCTTTTTGTTAATGAAAGTCCGTTTATATTATCTATCACCCATACACACCACCTCCCTGAGTAGGACTATGGGAAGGAATACTGTAAGCGCTCTGTGAGTAGCTGGAAAGATCCAAACCTAATTTTTTTGTTTGTCTTTTGAGACACGGTCTCATGACGTAGTGCAGGCTGGCCTTGAATCCACTTATGTAGCCCATCAAAACAAACAAATGAAAAAAGCAAAAACAACCCCCAAAATGTGGAGTTTGGCTCTAGTGAGTTCTCTAATAAACAGAATAATAAGCCAGGTGTGGTGGTGCATGCCTGAAATGCAAGCCCTCCAGGAGGCTAAGACAGGAGGATCACAAGTCTGGGCAGATGCTGGGTAATTCAGTCGCTTAGCAAGACCCCACCTCAAAATAAACAAGAAGAGCTGAGAATGCAGCCCAGTGAGAAGGCCCACAAAGTATGACAAAACTAAGGCACAAAGGGCCAGGACAATAGTGATCAAAAATAATATTAATATGTCACAGTAGAATTTCACTGCAGACCAAAATGTAGTGAACTAATTTAACACAGAATTTCCATATTAATCTTCCTGTATGTGAGAGGTCACTTTCTCTTTCAGTACTGAGTAGTGAACAAGACTGAAATTCCTAGGTAAAGAAACTGCACACAAAGCTTCAGAACAGTAGCTGAAGGTACGATTACAGCCCATGAGGAGTGCTTCACACAGTCAGTTCTAAATTCTCAAGGGCCCATGGAGTACTACTCTGCCATAAAGAAAGATAAACTTGAGTTGTTTGTAGGAACATGGATGTACCTTGAGACCCTAAAATTGACTGAAAGAAATTGGACACTCAAACTTAAATAGCACATGACTTCTCCTATATAAGAGACCCAGAGTATGGAGATTGATAATACAAATTAGGAAGTTCTTTTCAAATAAGGGGAACAAGAGACGGAGGGAGGGAAGGGAAAGGGTGTGAAGAAAAGGAATTGAAAAAAATTAGAAATGGGGCTTTTGCAAATGGGAAGGGGATCAAGAGACGGAGCGGGGAGGGACAGAAAGAATCACGATGTACATGTGCCGACTCCCCATGATGAATATAATCAATCAATTTAGAAAGGAAAGTTCCCGGGGGCCAGCAGCCTCCCTTCCCTCTGTGGCTCAGGAAGCTGCAGCTTGGGCCTGGGAAGCCGGTGTGGTAGGCCAGCTGAGATGGCCAAGAGCAGGACACCCTGACCTGCACGGGTCATAATTGCATCCAAGGTCTCCATGACGACCTGCCTGAGCCATGCGCTCAGAACTGTGGGGTTAGTGACATCCCACGACCGGGCCGAACCCAGTCCCAAGAACAAGGCTTGCCTACTGTGAGTAACTCCCAAGCCTCACCCTGAGAGTGTGCGATTTCAGTGCTTAATCCATACCAGGAAACCAACTGGCATGATTTTGGAAGGGAAGGATTTTCCTGTGGGATCTAGGAGGTTCCCTTAGCTGCTTTCACTCCCAGGGTCACAGTAGTAGTCAGAGAATCTCCTACACCGAAGCCACGGGTGACAGGAGGAAGGATCTGAAGCACACCATCATCCCCGCTGTGCCTTCAGTTAGTGGACTGTGCTTGGGGACAGCTGTCCCACAGGACGTAGGTCACAGCCCCCGTGGTCCCTGTGCCATCCCAGGGCACTCAGAAATGATTTCCCTTAGGTGGTTCTGTGGAGAAACCTTCCAGGACCCATGAGTGGGCGCCACTGTTTCCGCTGATCAGCTCCTTCCCAGAACCCAAGTAAGTGATAAATATCGGATTGGGTTCCCACTCTGGCCCAGCGTTAATTCCATTCCTTAGAAAAGCTGCTCCTGTTTTCTCCCACAATCATATTTTTTTCTTGACTATTTCACCTTCTCTTCCCTGAGTAATCAAAATCCAGTCTCCCAGAATCCCCTACCTTGCCTTACTCTAGAAAGGAAGAGCTTGAAATAGGTGAACTCTTAGTGGCACTAACTTTTTAAATGTCCTAAAATGTTCAATTAAAGAGCTCGGAGCCCCCACGCTTCAGCCTCTCTATATAGTTGTTTCCCTTCAGGGCTGAGTATGTTTTCTCTTAGTTTTCAGAGATCACTAGTTGAGTAAGTGAGGGAAAAGCATAATTCATTTTCATTGTGGGGAACTAGATCAATCCGTGAGCAGTCAAAGCCTACTTACTTAATGAGCCACCTACTCAATTGCTTCTTTTTTTTTTTGGTTTTGGTTTTTTTTCTGGTACCAGGAATCAAACTCACGACCTCACGCTTGCCAGGCAGGCACTGTGCCGCTGAGCTAAACCCCCAGCTCCACTGTAGACTTTTTTTTTTTGTCAACTGCTTCTTGTAGTAAGGGTAAAATCACAATGTCATCTCACAAAGAGAATTATTAGATAAGGGGGGCTTGTGAAATAGCGGTGCCTTCCATCTAAAAAGTTTAGACAGTTTCACCACATTGTTCTGTCCTCAAAGAGTCCCTAAGTGTGTATGTTGGGATCTTGATGACTCTGGTATCAGAGATGCCTTTAAAGAGTCAGCATATTGTGTCAGATTCCTTAGAGCATGAACCTTCAAATGGAACATACCAGCTGGGCATGGTGGCACATACCTGTAATCCCAGCGCACAGGGAGGCTAAGACAGGAAGATCATGAATTGGAGCCTAACCTAGTGATTTAGTAACTTAGTGACAGTGAGACCCTGTCTGGAAATTAATTAAAAAGGGATGGGATGTAGAGCAGTGCAAAGGCTCCAGGACCACAAAAGAAAGAAAGAAGGAAGGAAAGGAAGGAAAGAAGAAAGGAAGGAAGGGAAGAAGGGAAGAAGGGAGGGAGGGAGGGAGGGAGGGAAAGGAAAAATACTTAAGCACCAACACTGTCATAAATCTGCATGCCACTGTGCAGGAAATGTAGTGTGCTATTGGGAGCTTGGCCAGAGCCCCCAATCTCCTAAAATGAGTGTACAGTGAAAGTTTAAATAAAAGAGACAAGTAATATGGTTTGGGGGGGCCCAGGAAGGTCAAAACTTTATTGGAGCTAAGACAAAGACTTCTCCAGGTCACCCATATTTACTGGTTTTCCAACAAATGGTGGGGATAGCTTAGGTAAAGGCAGGAAACAGAGCAGGACCTTGGAAAGTGAGAACAAAGACCTTTCCAAGCAGTGCATGCTGCGCATTAAGAGAACTGTTTCATCTCTAAGGTTAGTGGTTCACAGCTCTGGAATAGGGAGTGGCAGCCCCACACTGCCCCACACACTCTCATCTTGCCTTCAGGAGCTGTGGATATGAGCTTTCCGATACACCCAGAGAGCACTGTGTCCAGCAGCATGGCCCTTCCACAGCTCCATCCTCAACAGTGTGCCCTCCTCCACACTGTGTCCATGCCCAACCTACTGCAGTGGTCACTGGCTTCCAGCACACACGGCAAAGCAGACAAGGAGAGTGGCTGACAAGTAGGGGCAGCTGTCGTTTTACGTAGGCAGCTATAATAAATGACAGCTGGCTGACAGGGAAAACAGGGAGTGGGAAGATTTACATCCTAAGATCAGGGAGAGCTATAAAAGCTCCAATCCCAAAGTTGCAGAGCAATTCAGCTTCCAGGCAAGCAACCCTCTGTGACACTGTTGTCATTTCTGTCCCAACACCTACAGCATGGACACTGATGGGATTGTCAGATGTCATAGCTGGCAAGACAGTCTGGAGGTCTAGGCCAGCTCTCCCAACTTGTGAGGAAATGGGGGCCCCAGTAAGCAGAGGGTCACGGCTGATGAGTGGAAAAAATGGCCACCAAGGGCCACCTCTTGTCCTCTATACCCCACCTCAGAGAGGCAAAGACAACGCATGGCCTCAAGAGTTTTTAAAATGCTGCATAGGGGGGCTGGGGATTTAGCTCAGCGGCACAGCACCTGCCTGGCAAGCGCAAGGTCATGAGTTCGATTCTGGGTGCCGGAGAAAAACCTAAAATAAATAAATTAATTAAATGCTACATAGGGGTTAATGAAGGTTTAAAATGTTTTCCCTGACAAAATGGCTGAAATCTCATTGGTTAAATATGAGAATTAGCTGGGCATGGTGGCACTCACCTTAATCCCAGCAATCAGGAGGCTGAGACAGGAGGATCCCAAGTTCAAAGCCAGTCTGGGCTACATAGTAAGTTGAAGGCCAGCTTGGACTACATAGAGAGACCCTGTCTCAAAATAAATAAGTAAATAAAAGAAACAAAGTAAACATGAGAATTAAATGAGATAAAGCATAGAACATTATCATTCAAACATAGGGATCAAAATCTTATTACCTATTATTATGAATGAAAAATCAGATGTATAAAAATATGACAGAGCATTTTCCATATTTATCATTTAAATAATTTTGCTTTGCCAGAAAATTAATTTTCCTGAAGCGATTGTCTTGGTTACTTTTCTCTCATTGCTGGAACAAAACACCCAACACTCAAAATTAAGGAAGGAAAGGTTTATTTAGCTCACAGTTTATGGAGGTTTCAGTCTATAATCAGCTGGCTCAAAGGCAGGGTGGCACATGGCACCGGGGCACATGGCACAGAAGACAGCAAAAGCAGCAAGAGCAAAAGGGGTGGGGAGCAAGCCTCTTTCCCTCCCTTATACTCTAAGCAGGCTGCCCCCTAGAGCAGGTGTAGCACCCACGTCATCACACTGTCCTCCTCTTGCACAGGCTCAGAATGTTACAAAGTGAGGACCCTGGCTCCCTGCTGAGTCACTTAGTTAAACTTCTAGACTTCTCAAGTTGATACAATGTATCAGCCATTACAGTAATCAATATATTGTTAGATCTTAAAACCTCACTTGAGAAAGCTCTCCGGCTGGGGACCCTATTTTAAAAGTACACTTTTGCCAGACAGGTTGCTACATACCTAAAATCCCAGCACTCAGTAAGCTGAGGCAGGAGGATCACCCTGAGTTCGAGGCCAGCCTGGGTTACCTAGTGAGTTCAAGGCCAGCCCGAACTATAGAAGAAGACCCTGTCTCAAAAATAAATAAATAAATAAATAAAGTACACTTTCCACCTCCCCACTGTGATTTAATATGCTTTATAACCCGTCACCATCTTTTCTACCTGGTCCCAATATTACTCTGCTCTTATATGGCAGACAGACCTGAAAACACATTCCTACTTTTCCCACTGTCTTTGTAAAGTCTTTGAAAGGGCAGGGGCTATTGTCTCTTAGAATAATCAAAAACTTTAAGCTTACACAAAACTATGTAAATAATGCTTACAGATAGGAGGCTGGTGTTTTGATATCTGAGTATGAGTTGGATCTAATTTCTTTAAATGATTTTAATTCCATATTGTTAAAGCCTTGTTTCTCATCAAGAGGTTGACAAGCAGATAGGATGTTAGGAGAGCTGAATGGTTGAAGAAAATTGAGTTTCTTCCTTTGCACCAAGTAAACTCCAATTAGCTTTCCCTTGTAATTCAGGCCTACTTGTTCATCCAACTCTCTTTACATCCATTAATGAATTCATAAGTGTTAAACAAATGCTTGCCACCACAAATCAACAGGGAATTAGAATTTTTTTGAGACAAGTTCTCATGATGTATATATAGCTCGATCCTCCTGCCTCAGCCTCCCAAGGAAATTAGATTCCTCTTACATTTGCTTCATACGTAAACGCAAAACCTACTTGGCCGGACCTCTAAGTGTTGGGTTGTCCTTAGCTGAGTCCTTGGGCCTTTTCTCTTTGCCCAGGTGATCTCATCCACTTCTCTTACTTTGAATGCCATGAAAAGGGTGAGCTGACATTCCCAGCCTCGCCCTCTTTCTGGACTCCAGACAGAAAGCCACTTGCTTGCCAGGCACTGTGATTCACTAGGACAGAAGAATCCCTTATTCTTGTTTTCCCTCCAGATCTTAACCCTAACCCCCTCCTCATCTTCTCACTGCCCAAAGCTCAGACTCTGACCCCAAGCATCTCAGATTTCGCCCAACCTCATTCGCATCCCAGGAGGGCAGGGTTTGAGAAGCACAAGCTCAAGAAGTCTGAGCCTGGGCCCCTTCCTCTGCTTGCGACCCGCCCAACGCTCTGCATTTAACTTTACTTTTCCTTCGAAAGGGCCCTGTGTAAGTTCTGGGTCTCATCAAACTGGGATCTGCCTTGATGCTGTGTCCAGCTCCATTTTCAAGAGAAAACTAAGACTGGCCACTTGGAACACTGTGGATTGCCCCACTGTGACCAAGTCACCACCTTGCTGGGGCACAGCCATGGCCTCTTGATGTCCTGCAGCTTCTTCGGTTTCCCCTGTACAGTCTCTTTCCATGCTGCAATCAGGAGGATCTTTTTTCTTTTTGAGACAGGGTCTTGCTATGCAGTTCAGGCTGGCCTTGAGCTCACTTTGTAGCCCAGGTTGATCTCGAACTCGAAATGATCCTCCTGCCTCAGCCTCCCGAGTGCTGGGATTACAGGGGAGCGCCACCACACCTGACTTGTCTCACCTTTAGCTCGTATGTCACCATTTCTCAAAATTGACTTGCTCATCACCTGAGTCCTTGCAGGAGGTTGTAAATCCCATAAAGGCAGGGCCTTATCTGCCAGCTCCCCTGAGTCCCTGAAAGCTATAACACAGAGGCTGCCCATTCCACATCTGTGAGGCAAATAAATGAACCAAATGTTCATCAAACAAACATCAGTGCCGCTAAACGGGGCCCAAGGCAGGACCCCGCATACGGCGGAGTGGGATCAAGGAATGCGAACTCTATGGGAAGTTCCTTTGCTTTCTTTGTCATTCAGAGACTGAAAAGTCTGTCCTGCAGGAGCCGAGATGTGGGTTACACTGCGGTGGATACCGCACGGTGTACGCCACCACCACAGAGCATGTGGAAAAAGTGCTGCTACCGCGTCCAAACTGCGGGGTATTTGCTGAGAAGATGGGAAGAAAAATAAACAGGCTAAATTAGACCTGAATTGCTTGCGTCCCCCTCTCCCCAAGTACTGGCTTGGCAATATTCAGAAGTAGTGGGGCTGAGTGGTTCACATACATAATCCCAGCCCTCTGGGAGGCTGAAGCAGGCTGAAGTTCGAGCCCAGCCCGCACAGTTTAGTGACGTAGCATGACCCAGACTCAGAATTCAAGAGTGCTGAAGATATGGCTCAGTGCAAGGGGCCTGGACTCAGTCCACAATACCAACAACAACAATAAAGCAAGCTCAAAAGTTTGAGGGTTACAAATGTTACCATCAACTCCAGTAACAATACTGTGAGACAGGGTTTTGCTAAGGTTCCCAGACTGACCTCAGACTTGTGATCCTTCTGCTTCAGCCTTCAAAGTAGCTGGGATTACAGACATGCACCACTGCATCCCATCTATGGATGGACATTCTACCTCCTCACTCCCTGGAAAGAAAGTGTCTGGCTTTTCTCCAGCAAGTGTGATGTTAGCCATGGATACATCACAGCTGGTTTTTATGAGGTTGCTCTTTAATCCTAGTTTGTTGAGTGCTTATAGATCAATTTTTTGGGGCATTGGGAATCAAACTCAGGACCTCGTGCTTGCCAGGCAGGCGCCTGTAACACTGAGCTCTATCTCCAGCCCCTAAAACTAGTGTGTTGGTTTATCTATTTTTTGGTACTGGAGATCGAACTCAGGATCTTGTGCTTGCCAGGCAGGTGCTTATGCCACTAGCTATATCCCCATCTGTTGAACGTTTATATCATGAAAAGATATTAGATTCTGTGAAAGGCTTTTTCTGCATGTTGAAATTATCATATGTGTTTAGATTTTATTGTATTCATGTGATATAGTGAGTTGATTTTGGTACCAGGAATCGAACTCAGGACCTTGCATTTGCTAGGCAGGTGCTGTGCCACTGAGATATATCCCCATAGTGTGTTGATTCTCATATGTCACATCAGCCTTGCATTCCTGGGATAAATTCCACTTGGTCATGGTAGATAACCTTTTTCTAGATTTGTTTCCTAGGATTTTCTTGAGTATTTCTATGCCACTATTCCTGAGAAATAGTGCTTTTTTCTTGTGGTCAAGAATAAAACAGCTAGGTGTGGTGGCACATACCTGTAATCCCAACACTCAAGAGGCTGAGGCAGGAGAATTGCCATGAGTCTGAGGCCAGCTGGGGCTACATAAGCGACTTCAAGGCCAGCCCACTCTACATATCAAGACCCTATCTTTAAAAAGAAAAAGACAAAAATATCCATCCTTTTAAAAAAAGTCCATCCTTGAGCCAGGCATGCGGCACATGCCTATAATTTTACCTAGTTGGAAGGCTGAGGCATGAGGATCATAAGTCCCAGGCCAGTCTCCGCATGTTTAGCAGGAATCTGTCTCAAAGTAAAAAACAAACAATTGAAAGGGCTGGGGATATAGCTCAATGGGAGAGTGCTTGCTTCAATATTGGTCTATAGTTTTCTTGTGTGTTTTGGTTTTGGTTTTGGCTTTTTGGTTTCTTGAGACAAGGTCTCATTATATACTTCAGACTCATCTTAAATTCAATGTGTAACTCCACTTGTCTCAAATTCAGAGATCTTTCTGCCTCAGCCTCTGGAGTGTTGGGATTATAGATGTGTTCCTCCACACCCAATTTCTTGTGATGTTTCTGTCTCCTTTTTGAATGAGGGTCACACCAGCCTTATATAATGACATAGCAGATGTTCACTTTGCTACTTTGCATCATAGCTTGAAAAGAATCGATATTAATTCCTCAAATGTTTGGTAGAGTTTCCCAGGAAAGCTTCCCGCTCTTGAACTTTCCTTTGTGGGACTTTTCTTATTAATTTGTTTACTTGTTAGAGGTCTATTCAGAATTTCTATTTCTTCTCAAATCACTTTTGAAAATGTGTGTGTCTATAAGAACGTGCCCAGCTCATTAGGGTATCTACTCTGCTAGCATATAATTGTTAATAGTCCACCCTTATCATTTTTTTTTTTTATTTCGGAAAGCCTGGTAGTGATTTTATCTTTCATCTTGATTTCATCTTTTCTCCTTCTGCTTGGTCAGCAGAGCCAAAGGTTCATCAATTCTGTTGATCTCCTTAAAGAAACAATTTGGGTTACTTTTATTTTCTCTTTTTCTATTCTTTATTTCATTTATGTCCTTTCTAGTCTTTACTATTAATTTATGCTTGTTGTGGGTCTAGTTTACTCTTCTTTTTCTCATTTCTAAGAAACAAAGTTAGATTACTGATTTGTGATCTTTGACCTTTTCTAATGTAAGTGTTTTGTTGTTGGGGGTTTTTTGTTGTAAATTTTAGAATCTTTATTATGATTTCGCTCTAACTCACTTCAAGATATTTTCTGATTTCTCCTTTTTTTTTTCGTCTTTTTGAGACCAGTCTTGCTACGTAGTTCAGGACAGCCTTAAGCTCAGTTTGTAGCCCAGGCTGGTCTCAAACTCACAACATCCTCCTGCCTCAGCCTCTTGAGTGCTGGGATTCAGGTATGCACCACCACGCCCAGCTCTTGTGATTTCTTCTTGCCATGTATGCTATTCAGGAGTGTGCCATTTACTTACCACATACTGGATAACTTCCTAAATTGCCTTTCATACTTGTTTTTTCTTTTTTCAGTACTAGGGATTGAACAGAGCGCCTTCACACTGAGCTATACCATATGCTTTTTTATGCTGAGAGGGTCTTGCTAAGTTGCTCAGGCTGGACTTGACTTTGTGATTCTCCTGCATCAGCCTCCTGGAATGCTGAGATTACAGGCCTGTGCCATAGCAGCCAGCTTGTTCTTGATTTCCAATTTCTTTCCACTGTGGTTAGAAAAGATATTTTGTATGATTTCAGCCTTCAAAAATTCACTGAGGTTTGTTTTATGGCCTAACATCCAGTCTATCCTGGAGAATATTCCACATGCACTCAAGAAAATGTGAGCTCCACTGCCACGGGTGACACAACTGTCACGTGTTGGTCGGCGTGGCCTGGTTGGTTTACGCGGGTCTTCATGCCCTCCGTGGGATCTACCTACTTCCCTACCAACTACTGCTGAGGACTGAAGTGTTTGACTGGGTTGAATTGCCTGCTTCTCCATAACTCTGTCAGGTTTTGTTTCATATACTTTCAAATTTTTTTTTCCACTACTGTGAATTGAATCCAGAGCTTTCACACTGAGCTATATCCCCAGCCCTTTTTACGATTCTTTGAGACGAGGTCTGGCTAAGAGCTCAGACTGAGCTTGAACTTGCCATCCTCCTGCCTCTGTCTCCCAGAGTTCTGGAACTGCAGGTGTGCAACACCACAACTGGCCTATAATCGTTGTATCTTTCTGATTTGTTGACCATCTTATCATAAAAATGTCCATCCTTGTCTCCGATAACACTTTTTGCCTGAAACCTACTTTGTCTCATAGTGGTGCAGTCATTTCACTCCTTTGGATGCTGTTTACACGATGTGTCTTTTCCCATTGTTTTACGTAACGTATTTCTGTTCTAAGGAAAAAGACTTAATTTAAAAACGAAATCCTGGGGGTGGGGCACGGTGGTGCATACCTGTAATCCCAGCACTAGGGATGCTGAGGCAGGAGGATCATTGAAAATTAGAGACCAGCCTGGGTTACGTAGTGAGTTCATCAGCCTGAACCACATAGCGAGACCCTGTCGCGAAAAGCAAAACAAAAAAGTTACCCCTCTTTTCCTCTCACTCTTGATTGAACTTATAAGGATGCATTCTAGGAGATTCGCTGTGCACTGTTACCTTCTAAAAGGTTAACAGTCCTGTTTATGTCCATCAGCAGGGCAAGGACCCCCAAGCGAGGAGGCCTGCTCAAGAGGCAGGTGCTGTACCATGCCTCCCACTCCCTGAGGACAAGTCGGACAAGAGCGGAAACACTGTAAGGTAATCTGTTCCACACGGCAAAGTCACCTCTTTCATCTGAGTGCACAGAGTGGGTGCGACACCTGTATGGAGCTCGCGGGTTGCTTTAGTCCAGTGATGGGGAACACTTTACAGCTTTCAGGGATACAAACCGTCTGCTGCTGCAGGGTCGCCACCCCTGCTTTGGTCTCCAGCAAAGCACTGTCCAGTAGCAACAACGTTTCTAGTAGTCATATTTGAATAAGGAAAAGGAAACTGGTAAACTTATCAACATTTAGTAACAGAGTTGAATAAATGTGGCTAATATAGTTTATTAACCCATTATTTCAACACATGAGCGATATAAAATTGTCATTCATTTCCTCTTGCTATTTAGAATTTAGTGTACATTTCACACTTCAGCAGATCCTTGTGGAATGAGTTAATTTCCCCAGCCCTAATTGCTACAGGCTACCCCAGGGGATAGTGTAACTGTAGCATTTAAATCCGTGACCGGTTTTTAAATGTTCTGTGATCAGATCTAGTTTAAAAATTTTTTCTTAAACCTAGTGTGGTAGCACACACCTATAATCCCAGCACCCGACTGTAATCCCAGCACTCAGGAGGCTGAGGCACAAGGATCACTGTGAGTTCGAGCCTGGCCTGGGCTACACAGTGAATTCAAGGCCAGCCTAAACTACATAGCGAGACCTTGTCTCAAAAAACCAAAACAAAAAATGTTTTTCTTAACCATAGGGTTTTTCTCTAATCACAATTATTATACATCCATATAACATGACTGCAACTGCTTACGTGAGTATACAGTTGCAATAATCTACCAGACAGACACAAAATCAGCATTATAGTGACAGATTTTAGTGACTTCAATTTGCATTAGTAATGACAGGTAATGTTTACTAAGCATTTGTTTTGTGCCAGGCTCTATAGCAAGTAGTTGAATAAGCGATGAAAATACATCTTCCATCTCCATTTCCTAGACGGGGACACGGGCCTGAGGAAGGTTAATTAACTTGGGCAAGAGCACACAACATGTAAGGTGTGCAGTCCTCATTTAAACACTCTGGCACCTCCACTCCTATCCTCCAAACTCTACTGCCTCCCTAAAATGAAGCAGCCACTTGCAGACATTTTGTGAATTTCAGTATAAAACCCTGAGACAGAGAAGGTAATCGAGTTGTAATTTCCCCCTCCTACACTCAGTTCAGCAGTTTGCTGAGGGCCTGTCATACACAATGTGTATGGGAACTGCTGAGTCCCGGTTGGCCCTGGCTGGGCTGCGCTAACCAAAGCAGGCTGTTTCTTAGGCACCAGTATAGAAGTTTTGATAAGGAGTAGTTTTTCTAAAATGCTGGAGATGGTGGCGCATGCTTGTAATCCCAGTACTCGGGAGGCAGAGGCAGGAGAATTACAGTGAGTTCAAGGTCTGCCTGAACTACATAGCAAGGCCCTGTTTCAAAAAACAAAACAAAGAAGTTGTGAACAGTTCCATCACTTTTACTTTCAGAACACTACTTTCAATAGTTACCTTTTTTTGCTAGTTCTTCTTTAGGTAACAAACATAAAATCAGTATTAAAGTTAGAAATCTTATTTAACAGCTAAGTATCTTATTGAATACCTGGAATCCTTTTGACATATTTTATTCTACACAATTGGAAGACTAACAGAAAATATATAAATATATTTTATATTCATGTGTGATATACAAACCCTGAACCACATGTAGCTCTTAGAGTGCATATGTGCTTAAAGCTGAGCAGTATGGCATGCACCTGTAACCCCAGCACGCTGGAGGCTGAGGCAGGAGGATTTCAAATTCAAGCCTAGCCTGGGAAACTTAGTGAGACCCTATCTCAAAACAAAAAATAAAACACGGGCTGGGGATATAGGTCAGTGCGAAGGCCCTGGGTTCAATTCCCTGTATCACAAAAAAAAAGGAAGTACTTGCTTACGGTATTTCTACAGTATTTCTTTTTTAATCTTCACTCCATCTAAATCATAACAATGATTATCAACTACTATGGAAGCACTATGTTATGTGAAATTATATATGACATGTTATTCTTTCTCAACATGCCCTATTTATTCCCATTTTACAGATGTTTCATTGTATCATGTCAGCTATTAATATAAATACTGGTAAATAATATCATCACCTTATGTTTGAGGAGTTACAGATCACAATACTTTCATTTATGTGATCTAAATTGGTAATTTAATTAGTTGTGATATCAAAAGCCCAAACAGTTATGAAGACTAGAGCTAGTTTGTTTGTTTGTTTATTTTCTTTTTGAGGCAGGGTTTTAGTAGGCAGTTCAGGCTGGTCTGGAACTCAGTATGTACCCCAGGCTGGCCTCAAACTCACAGCAGGGATGCTGGGATTACAGGCATGTGCCACCATCTCTGGCTAGTAATTCTATTAGAGGCCTAGGGCAACTTTAAAAAGAATCCAATTGTTTGGGCAGATCTTATTTTATTTGTTCTCAGCACTCCATGGGCCAGTAAGCACAGACAAATAAAAATTCTACCCCAGTAGAGGTTTTATAAGCCCAACTTCTCCAGCCTCATCCCAGTTCCAGCACCCTCCCCTGCAGCCAGGAGCAGAAGCAAGGTGGGATTTTCTGCTCTCTGGTTAAGGGGTCCTGCCCCCTGGAGCGATACCAAAGGGTCATGCCCAGACCTGCAAGCATCAAAAGTTCTAAACTAGGCTGGTGCAGTGGTGCCTGCCTGTAATCCTAGCACTTGGGAGGCTGAGACCGCAGGATCACAAGTTGGGGTCCTACCTGAGGAGCTTAGTGGGACATGGTCTCAAAACAAAAATTAAAAAGGCTGAGGAGGTAGTTCAGAGGCCAAGCTCTGGGTTCAATCCCCAGGATCAGAAAGAAAGAGAGACAGAGGGGAGGGAGGGAGGGAAAGAGAGAGGGAGAGAGGGAGAGAGAGAAAAGAGCAGGAGGAGGAGGAGGAGGAAGGCAGGCAGGAAGGAAAGAAGGCAGGAAGGAAGGAAGGGAGGAAGGGAGGAAGGAAGGAAGGAAAAAGAGAGGAGAGAGAAAGAAAGAAGCAGAGAGAGAGAGACAGAAAAGAATTCCTAAACTACTAGACCCTAGATTGCCTGTACCAATTGAGAGAAGCGTCCGGTCTTCCTTTTGTTCAACCTTGCCCCTGTGTACAAGGGGTTAATTGATCTAAGCAGCGGGTGGGAGCAGCTTCAAGTCTAGAAAGCCAGAAGAGAAGGTTTGGGGGGCTGGCCATTCATAGTCTGCTCAAAATCAGGGCAGCTGAGTGAGCAGTTTCCATCCCTTCGTCTTATTTGCACTTACAACAAACCGTTAGAACTTTTAATATCACCATACTTACTAACATCACCACACTTGCTCCATTTTATAGATGAGAAATTGAGGCTTAGTGACACGAAGCACTCACACAACTAGTAACAGACAAAAGATCCAAACTTGCTAGATACAAGCTCTTTTCTTGGTTTTTGTTTTTAATCTTCTGGTTTTTTTGAGACAGGGTCTTGCTATGTAGTTAAGGCTGGCCCGGAGCTTACATTGCAGCCCAGGGTAACCTCAAACCCAAAGCAATCCTCCTATCTCAGCCTCCCCGAGTGCTGGGATTACAGACATGGGACGCCACGCCCAGGAAGGCTCTTGATCTTTTACCACCTGATCTCCCTGAGAAATAAATAAACCCACATTCCTGCGGGCTGTCTTTATACTATATCCGAGCTATTTTTTTAAGAGAAAAAGAATACTTACAAAACAAAAAGGACTCACTCTGTGGGTAATAAGCTTGTAAGTGCAGTAAATATCACAAATGGCCCAGCATTACAAATTTTCTAGACAAGCCCTATATGAAAATACAGTCCCCACCTGGCATCCCCCATTGTCATTAGCTCTACTACCCATCCCAAATTTACTGGGCTTTACCCCTGGGATTTATCTTTAAACATTAACTTTAAAAATCTTCCCCCCGGGCCTGGGGATTTAGCTCAGCAGCAAAGTGCCTGCCTGGCAAGCAGAAGGTCGTGAGTTCGGTTCCCGGTACCAGAGAAAAACCAAAAAAAAAAAAAAAATCTTCCCCTTCCCAGATCTGCCTATATCCTGAGTAATTACTCTAAGCCTGGAGAAAGTTATCATATTTGTTACCTCACTTATTAAAAATGATCTAGTAGATAATTCCTCAAATTTAAGAATCTTGGATGAGAAGGAACCATCCTCAGAATCTTTTTTTTTTTCCTTTGGTTTTTCTCTGGTACCGGGACCCAAACTCACGACCTTGCGCTTGCCAGGCAGGCGCTTTGCCGCTGAGCTAAATCCCCAGCCCCCATCCTCAGAATCTTGATGTACCCAGTATGTACAAAAAATATTTTTAAACATGCATACCAAAATACAACAAAAAACACCTGTCCCCAAATAATATATATAATCGGCTGATTTTGAAAAAGCAGTGTGGCCTAAGAATGAAAAATGTTCTACGAAACTCCAGTGCTACAAGAATAGATTCGTATCTTATGAAAAATCCTGTCACAGCTAAAACTTTTTCAAGGAATTTCTCTAGGAATCAATCAGATTCCTTATCAAAATGTTAGCGGCCTTCACAAGCTTATGTGGGTCCCGGGTGTCTACACACAAGCGGCCCCGAGGGATGCAAGAATTACCTAAACGCAAATTCTACCAGACTTTCCAAGAGCAGCAGAGCCAACTCCCTCGTTCACTACTGAGGGCTGCAGGCTGCACTGCACAGCCGCTCTCCCCTCACGCCTCTTGCTAGGAATGCAGCGTCCCCCGGAGGCAAACATGAGTCATTTTCCTCCAGTGTCACCCTTAGCCCAGTCACTGCATTGGGCCCAGGAGGGTCTCGCCAGGAGGCCCTCGATCGAGCACTGGGCTCTCGGGCTTCCGCACCGCCGCACCCAGGCAGCCGCGCTCGCGGAGTCTGTGCCCCGGGCGGCGGGGCCCCGAGGGAGGACCGCGAGCACCGAGACGTCAGCCTCTTAGGGGAGACAGTGTCTCTCCCGAAATCT